CTGGGTTGCTGTCATAGAGTAGATAAAGGTTGGTACTGGCTGGTTTTCGACATAAAGTAGTTTGATATTTGTCGATCATACGAATAAAAGACGTCTACTTAATTGCCTAATTTTTCTCTTCTTTTCCTTTTTTGTACTCTTATTGAATCAAATCTGGCTTCATTCGTTTATTCTGATGAAGACGAGTGAACATCGTCGAATATCAATAATAAATCAAAATAACAGCACTGTGATTTGTATTAATCATGTTTGTAGCAGTTCTGTATTTCTTACTACGTTTCTTCAATATTACTCCTTTGCCAAAATAATTTATGTTAAGGAAATGATCAAAGTGCTGTGAAATAAGTTACCGATATTAATTTTTATTTTACGAAGTAAACTATTGAAGAAATTAAAATAACGTTAAAAGTAATAGTGCACCAGAGTACACTATATTACAGAAATTAATATTAGGAATAATCGATCTAGCTACTGAAGTTGTGCAACAAAACGCTTGCAGAGATTACCACCTGGCTAATTAGTCAATCAAAAATGGAATTGCAAGTATGTCTGAACTGAAAGTTGAAGATGAACAAAGAAATTTACCTTGTCCGATGCCGTTTCTGTTCCTACTGGCAATCCAGACCGTTTTCGAAACAACTTCAATTACAGCTTGAATGAAATTCGTATAGAGGAACAAGTTGCTCGTCTGAAAAAAGTTTAAAGCACAGTGCTTTTCATGGTACAAAAGAAACCATTCGTATCCATTTGGATTGCACTCAAAAGTGCCCCGGCTCGGGAGCTAAGTAATCTAAAGTCTACCACACACTATGTGAAAATTGTCAGGAATCTGTTCATGTACAGACAGAAATCAATGCCAGTGTAGAAAACTAGAACCTGTTGAAATTGGAGTACACGAAACCAATTATCATATTGGAAACGCATTCCATAGTTGGAAATATTATAAAACAACAACAGCGTGTTTAGAACTTTGCCATCAGCTCTGGATAGCTCGAGGTGTTCGTATCGGAGGCGATAAAGTAATGTTTTCTGAGCCAGAGTAGACCGATACTAAAGAAGATGTGTATCTGGTAGCAAGAAAATGAGCAAAAAATCTTTATATAAGTTAATAAAAAAGTACTTTTTTTACTAACTTAACTCCAAAATATGCACCTTCAAGATTCGTTCTGAAAATATGCTGCTGAAGCAAAGAAATTCGCAGTATCGTAGATCTAGAGCCACACCCCCATTTTTACTCTTGCTTTTGTTTTTAACTACATCTTCCAGTACATTTGTAACAATCATTAAACTAATCGATTAGTTTCAAATGGTGCATATACAATACATAGGGCATATCATAACAAAGAAGAAAGCCATTGACACCAACTGTGAGTATATCAATTGTTCTCTATCTATTTAAACGGTTTCACTTTTCGTAAATGACACATTATCATCATCAAAATGTTTTCTTCAACAGCAATCCTTGTGTTCTCCGTATTACTTGCGATCGTTCCATTCGCTTATTCCCAAACAAATACAACACAACCGATTGTGTGCAAAAAACAATCTGAATGTCCAGACAGGACCCATTTTTGTGATGAACATTTATCCTTATGTAGTTTGAAATATGCAAATGGCTATAATAACTGTAGTTCAAAACATCAATGTCTGAGTAACAAATGCCATGATAAAATCTGTCGACAAGGATGTAAAGAAGATCAACAATGTGATATGATGAAACAATATTGTACCACTGATGATTATTGTCGTGAAAAGCGATGTTCTGGATGGTGTATTAGAAATGCACAATGTGCTGATAAAAATTGTCGATGGACTTTTCACTGTTCTTGTTAAACGGTGTGTTTCAACTAGTACGCATGTGAACATTTTATCTTAAGTAGGTAAAATCTTCACTAATGGACTATCGGACATCGCTTACCCACGGTAAACAAATTATGATGAATTTTTTAATATTTGATTTAGATAATTTTGAATAAATTTCACTCACGGACCCATAAACATTAAAAAGAAACGAAAACAGAAGAGCGAAACAAAACAGAGATCATTTTTTTCTTGTTGCTTACGTTGATGATTTTTCTTAAAATGCCTTCAGGATATATAAAAGCGGTATTGAGGGGTTAGTGCCGTTAAATTGAGGAGAGTTTTCACGTACAGCCAAAGACTCACATACTAAAAGGCGATAATTTCGGTTATCATGAGCTAAAATATTTATTTCAACAAAATTAAAAGAATGACGTGTTCGTAATACATACTTGCTCTAAGCAGATTTTGGTTTATACTCCGGTACTGACTGAGTTAAAGAATTATTACTTTGTGATTGTGTTAAATTACGTAATTAGCTATGCAATCGCTGCGTCTTAAATGATCTGTTTCTCTTGAAACTCGACCGTTTAAAACGTTCTTCTTCTTATTTCCTGCATCTATACAATATGGAAGGAGCAGGAAGATACATACAGCAAAGGACTTCGTACGTTAGAAACTAAGCAGTTAGCCTCAGTTTAGCCTTCTGTCTTTAGTGTCAGTTAGCATCTCATATCAAAATTTGATGGTTTTTTTCTAGAGAAGCGCGTCTCGATATTTTTACATATTCGGAATCAGCGTGACGACTTACGTTGTACAGCGCAAAGATCTATCTTATATTAACTTAGCATAAAATTTGGAAAAGGGAAATTCAGAAATTTTTTTTATTTTATTTGTTTTTAGGCACCATTATTCTGGCCCACTACCAAAGTATTTTCGCGTCTAAACACGGATATTGGACTTTTTGCTCTGCGCTCATTCTGTCTCATTTATCTAACTGTAAAAGAAATCATTTGTAGCGGTCAGTTTACTATTTCAACGCTGAAAAGTAGTATCATGCGAACAGGACAGGGTTTCGCTGGTTTTGTGCGCTAACCAGTAGAAATTTAAAATGGCTGCCATGCCTAAAACTAACAAAGAGCTATTCTTTTACACAAAAATAGTACGAAATAGTGCATTTTCTAGCATGAGCTCTTGAGAAAACGTTCTAATTAGATTTTTCCTACCAATTGTGAGAGAAACGGACTCGAGCGCAGAAAAGAAACGCAGCTTTGGCGCCAAATAGCTCTAATTAGTTACTTATCATGTTTTGCTCCCAAAATCTGAGTATACCTTCGAGGTTTGTAAAGTTGCAGCTGCTGAGTTCTCTCGAAAACGAATTTTTCTATTCAGTACCATCGGTAGTGCGAACTTTTGCCAGGCGCAAAGATGCAGACTCATATACATAGCAAAAGTCTTAGAATTAGTTCTGCTTTAACTTAGCATAAAGTTGGAATGTAGAAATTCAGAATTTTTTCTTTTTATTTGTGTTTCTAAGCGCCGCTTCTCTGGCGTCACTGCCAGTGCGTGCTTAGAATGAAATATAGATATTCCATTTTTTGCTCTTTTTCAATTCTTTCAAATATATTCAATGATTTTGGTGCAGTATTACTAATTACTTTTGTTACCTAAAGCCATATTCTGTCTACTTTTCATTGCCACGAATATAACAATAATCAAGAATAAGAATTATTGACACTGTTTCTGCTTTTTTTTCCTTTCGTTACATGCAATTGATTTTAGTGTTATTAATCTGTTATGTTAAATCTTTACAAAGTTCATCAGAAAATAAAATGTGTTCCATCAATCTTTCTTTTTATTAACAAATTCACTTGTTGTTTATATTATGTGTTAAATTTTGTGCAGTAAGAGGTTTTGAGGTGCAGCAGTTTCTTCAGCTATACGTTTTAGTATCTTGGTAGATGCAGTGTGAAGGAAGTAAGTTTCACGTATAAGTACACAGATGAGAGATAATGCTCAACTTTACTGACAAAGACGTTGTTTACTTGACATAAGTGCAAATTCCGACAGTAAAGGCTAAGGAATTTTGGTTCAGTAATTTTGGTTCAGAATTCTGCTCAGCTAAAGTTAAAACTTCTTGTTTAGTAAAAAAATCACCTTATCTTTTTATTTTCATAGTACACAATACCAACACCAAATCTCAAGTGACAGAGTAAACGTTACTATGAATAATATTGGTTCTAGTTCTATATATGATGCACTTGGTAAAACGTTTATTGATGTTAAATTTGATTTATCATTAGTGATTTTTCACGTGAACGTTGTACTAATAATTGTTTCAAAATATATTGTTCAGTTTCGTTAAAGTTTGTAATTAAGTGGTCATTCAATTGGTTTAAATCTGTACATTCAGATGGTGTTAAAATACATGAATGATTTTGAGAAATGCAACACTTATTAATTATAAGTTCTAATTTTATGATGAAATTGTCATATGTTGTAATGTTAGCAGCCAGTAATGCATAAATCGACGCTGGTATTACTCGAAAATGGTGAAGAATCTTGATTTTTATGTTATCTAAAATTGAAAAGAATGACTGAATTGATTTTTTTGCTGACATTATTTTACTGGAGCCTAGAAATGCAGTACAGGGAGCATCATGAAGAAATGATACTGATCTAATAGTCCTCGCTCAGGACGTGAGATCATTTAGTATTCTATTTTATATTCAATTCAACTCGATATTCTGCCACAAAGTCCTTCACTCCAAAGCGATATTTCTTACCAGCAGTAAGAGGAAAAAAATGTTAAGAAATCAAAAACACTAACGTTTATTATCTTTTCGATTATTTAGAATTAACTTCTTCAACAAAAAACAAAAAGAATGTATTTTTTTCTCAACGACACTACTTTCGACGAATTTTATTGAAAAACAGCATTTATTCTCGATAGCATACGTATCACGTTCTCTGGTGGTAAAATGTAATTTCTTCATTCGACGAATACAGAACTGTAGACCACCAGCTATCCGTCGATGATTTTTAGCCACCAGAAGATCTTTCTTTAAATTTAAATCAGCCTCCAATGCCGGAGCTGGGCATTGGATGTGCGAACCGTCCACGAATCTGAAAAAAAGACTCCTCAGGTTACGTCTGTTTACATGAGATTTTTACATTTTCACTTACATTGTACACACGTTTCAAAAACAAAACTCACGTAAATATATTTTTTCACTATCTTGTTGTATTATTGGTCGATTACGATCTGCACCACCTGTAAGCAGGTTCTTTGCAATTATTCTTTGAGCTGTTGTTTCAATATTATGAAATATATATTGTTGTTCCCTTGTCCGTATTTTTAGTTGCCATTTTTGATTTATTTGTTTAATAACTTCTTGTTTAAGGTTTTTTCTTTTTATTATTCGAAAATGTTGTCGTTGTTCTTGCTGTTGTTGATCAACAATAACGTCACCATGATGTAAGGCAAGATAATTGATTTGTGTATGTGTTCTAAGATTCATATCTAAAATAACAGTGGAAACGTTTTGCTTACTGTGGTGCTGTTGCAAACTTTAAATGAACAGAAGTTTCGAAAAAGCAACTTTTCTGACAAATATGGTGTAGTTTCTATGTCGATTAGTTCGGTAACCTATTTGCTTTTTTGAATACAAACTGTTCAGGCATTACGCTTCAGGCAGTGATCATTAGCTTTCGAACCCAAAAGAACTAAAAGCTGTGACCAAAGCGACAAAATGTTCCAGATATCGGTCAGATCATGATGAACTAATGATCGCGTAAAAATGAAACTGCGAAGGCTAGAAAATGTCTAAGACAAATGGAGAAAATATTACAGGCTTATGCGACTGAGACGTCGAAAGACTTAGAGTGCATATCTAAGAGTAGTTGCTATGGCGCTTGATTCATTTTATTTTCTATTACTTCCTCTGTAAGTAAACAGTAAAGAAATAGTCTCTTACGGGGCTCCCCCTTCCGGTTTTTTCTTCCAGTTTGTAGAGCGTAGTCTGAAATATATATTCAGCAATTTTTTTTCGATTTCCAGTTTTTGGGAAAAAAACTTAACGGTATTCCTTCGATACCGGCCATAACGTTTCTGTTTGCAGTAAAATACAAGTCGGGTCAGGAGTTTACCTTTGAGCACTGTTTCCATGTTTGGAATGAATTTTGAATATTTCGGTCATAAAACAATTGAAATTGGATACTGTCTTCAAATAACTTTTTCTTATCATGGTTATTGGTGAATCGAATGTTTTTATCAAGGAAAAGCTGGGAAGAACTGTTCTCAGCATCGTCTATCAAAGACGATAATGTGAGGCTTGATACTGATCTCAATCGGCGATGTCGGCTTCTTGTGAAGACTTTATCATTGGAAAACTGTTGTTGAAACAAAACACCATTTTTATACTTTTATTCAGCAAACATTCTTGTACAAAATGAGCCATTTGGCAGCTCTAAATGCCTTTTTATAACTGGTTCGAAACGACTTTGCTGAATGTCCTAACAACGATTATTAATCGGTGCATGCCTAATCCGGATCGCGATACATTTTTATATCCTGATTGGGATATATAGCTTGATAGGGATATGGTTCCTCACGTTTTTATGAATGTAAATGATATTGATGTTAAAAAGTTGGAATCCAGTGTATTGTGGAACCCAATATTATTGTAAAAATATTATTGGGTGACCAATATTATTGGTTCCAATATATTGGGTATACAATAATATCGGGACCCAATATAATTGGATACCAAATAATATTGTACAATATCGTCAATAATGATTAGTATTGGTGCATGCGTATTCTTGCTTACTTTCAGAAGCTCTTAAATGACGCTCATTTCGCTTGTTTCTCCTAGTTATCCTGAAACGCTACATGGTCGTGATAGCATTCACATCGTTACATAAATCATCGTACAAAACCCAACAAATTGAGCTAAAAATGTTGGCACCAATCAGAATTAGGTCGTCAAATAATGTTGCTTCATTGACGTCTCGCCCGAGTGAACGGAATTTTAATAACATTTCAGCGATAAACATATCTCCGATTGTGAACAATAGCAACGAGCGAACATTAATAAATAACTATCGCTCTTACGAGCTATTTACCTTTAAAATGGAAAAACCTTATCTATTGACATATGCGCTGATTACTAACTATGCTTTGAACAAACAAATTCAATTCCCAATATTATCTAGCTTTTTTAGCACATTTATATTTTATGAAAGGCAGGAAAAACATGAAATTACATATTGCTCTCCAATCAATGAACCACCAACATCGACAGAAGCTGCAACGGCGATTCTAAAAACAACAAAAGCTCAATTCATCGAATCAGGGTTTCAGGTAAAGAATCTCTTCGTGATTATGGAAATCGCAGGATAGACAACTGACATTCTGAAATCTTCTGTTAGAAAAAGTTGTAAATTGCTCGTCTCTTTTTAGGAAAAAGCTGTTATCATTATGGATGAAGATCTCTATCACAGCATGATCAAAGTGAAGGACCAGAATCCATTAGAATTTGAAAGAGTTATTCTACTCGGCGGAGATTTCTATGCCTTAATGAACTACATGCGTGTGGTGTGCAGTTAGGCATGCAACGGTTACGGTTATTAACCGTTGAACCGTAACCGTAAATAACCGTAACCGTAATAACCGGTCAAACGGTTAACCGTAACCGTAAATAACCTGTCGGACGGTTAACCGTAACCGTTAATAACCGGTCAAACGGTTAACCGTAACCGTAAATAACCGCTTCATAACAGCTTCGTGTACTGATTGTAGAAAAATAAAGAATAATTTATTTGGAAAGAAAGAATAGTATATACAATCTTGTTTGGATTCTTTGAGCGAAAGTTGATTAAGATCATTTTGTATCCTGCTACTAATGACACTGATTTCCGCGTGTACGTTAGTGACCATTTTTCTGCATTTTAAGTGCATTAGTGTGTCGTTCGTACAAACAAACGGCATCCATCGTTTATAGTCCATATAGAAAAATGACAAAATTATCACTATATTATAATATAATAAATGAGATAAATGTGGGAGAGATATGATCTAAAAATGAGCCATATATGGTCCATAAATGAGTCATTTGTGGCTCATTTTTCACGGCCTGGGTTACGGTTACGGTTAACCGTTCGACCGGTTATTCACGGTTACGGTTAACTGTTCGACCGGTTATTACGGTTACGGTTATGAGTTACGGTTAACCGTAACCGGTGCATGCCTAGTGTGGAGTGTGCTAGATGGTAGCGGAATACATGAATTGTTAAATTATTTATACCAAGGAGCCACATTAAAATCTGTTATTAACGTGACAAATTTTAACAAATCATTACGCGCTACAAAATTACTGTACACTGCATTGTATGTCACTTGTTCTGAACAATTTTTAACAACAACAAATGTACAGCAAAATATAACTGATGCATTGGACAACGTACCATCATTTTATACACAAGGTAATGTCAAACAGAAATGGTGTAATAACTTAATAAATACGATTAATAATCATGATCTAGAAAAGAAATTTAAACAATATTGTGAGACAAATTCATTGAACAACAAACATTTTCAGTTTTGGAGTTATGTGTTATTCTCTTTAATAGAGCCATGCATCGAATTATTAGTAGCTATTAGATCAGAGAATTCAATTTACGTAACAACTGTTGGAGTAAAATAGTTCCATTGTTTTTTGGACATAATCGTCTACGGTACGCAAAACTAGACGGTAAGTTTTATTCACACCTATTTGTCCTTCTATTTTCTACATTCTCGTGTTATTTTCTCATGGCTAAACATATTAATATCAAAATTAAAATATGAAAAAGTATTCTCATCACAAAATCAGCAAATGACTGAATTATTCAGTGGAAAAATGGTACACAATGACATCATTGATAGTATATGCTCAAGCTTCAGTAGAGGCGAGCTAGAGTTAAAGAAATTTGTTCAAGAACGATTAATAGATAAAAGTGTCTACATTGATTCAACAATGACAAGAATGAAAACATTAAAATTAATTGATACTGACACGTACGGGGCGAAAAAAACAGCATCACAAAAGAAACAAACAACGAAACAATATGAAACAAAATTGCGCGATCTTATTGTACTCGGTTCACAGGATCATGATATTAATTTAATTGGTTATCTGAAATATGAGTATTATGATGTACCACCGGCGTTATCCGATAATTTTCAACTATTAAACTCATCTAACAATAATAAAGTCATTGAGTATTTTATGGAAAACTATCTACAACAGTTTGCATTCGCACAATCAAATGACGAATTAGAAAAAAGGGTACTATTAATTGATGGAGATATTTTGTTACAACATCATCCAAAGGCAGGAGATACAGTATCTACGTATGCTAAATATTTATTTAATGAGATTATCAGCCAAAGTTCTACTTATGAAAGAATCGACGTGTTGTTTGATTCAAATCAGAGTAAAAGTATGAACATTCTCTCATCAGCGACTTACTCAAGATTTCAGTAAGGGGAGGAGCAAACCTCTTTTTGATCAAAGAAAAAAGTTCTTGTGTAGTATTTTTATTTTCGGTTGCGATCAAAATACTTTTTTACTGCGAAATGAAGAAAACAAAATTGTTAAGGTGTGGGTCATGGCCCGCCCCTGGCTTAGTGCTCGATACGTCGCTGTCTCTTATTGCCCTAGAGGTTACTATTAGAATATTTCAGAAAGCAATTTTTTCATCAAAAAGACATGCCAACAGAAAAACAAATACTTACCAACTCACAATCGATACAACATTGGAATACAGAAAAGAATCGTACAACGTATTTATATCAAAAAACCGTGCAGCTCTCGTTCAATGTTTGCGAGATGTTTGGTTAACAATACTTTATTTAATATCTCAAGACAAGCTTTTTCACGTTGCTGGTCCTGATGAGAATTGTTATCATTTGAATACACATGGATGTTACAATGACACTTTATTGAAATGTAACCAAATTGATGTAAATACTCGTTTGTTTTATCATGTCAAAAATGTTAATGAATTCCACCATTATAACACAGTGGAAATTCAATCGAGTGATACAGATATTTTAATATTGACATTAGCATTTGCAGCTGATTTTAATGACTTGTTAATCTTGATAGATCGTAGAACTCCGCGCAACAGTTCTAAAAAACAACAAGAATACGTCAGTTCTACTCGGATAGCACAGGTAACATTCATGGTTCAAATAATTCGTTTAAAAAAATATTGTTTTATTTCAGGATATTGCTCAGTTAGTCAATCCAAAACTGTTACTAGTGTTACATGCGATTTCGGGATGTGGCAATACCAGTTTTATCAAAATATATCCAAGAAAAGAATTTCTCAAAGTTATTTTTCAAGAGCCGCTTCATATAATGAACTATCAAGTTTGGGTGCGATTCCATTGCCAAATGATGCAGTGACGCAGTGAGCAAAAGTTTATCAAAACTAATTCGGGCGAATCAATGTTGGAACACCTCCCACCAAC